TTTGTTACCTTGGTTCTCTAGTGAAATGCTGCTCAGTCATTAAAAGAGTATCCCTACTCAAAGTTTGACCGGGGGGAAAAAAAAAAAGCAAATGGGTTAATTTAGCAATTTGGTTGGGTGATGTGGGAAAACCAAGCAAACTCCCAAACAACAAAAAGATCCCCAAGAAAGATGTGGCTGCAGAACTATCAATAGTGGGCAATTAAATGAAACACCAGTGTGGAGCACAGAGCCTGGGGCTGGTCCCAGCAGCGCTGATGATCAAGGTTCAGTGCCCACGCATGGCCTCAGCTAAGTTTTAATTTTCTGGTGTGGACATGCTGGTACAGATGACAGCACCTCACACCAGCACAAGAGAGGACCTTCGTGGCTTTCACCACCTACATACGGGGCCTGTCTAATACTTACTGCTCGTTACCTGACGAGACTGCTCTGCATGGAGCATTTGGTCTGGATGAGAAGAAGGGGATGGACAGAGGGAGGACCCTGTGCGAAGACCTTTCCGTCTATGCTGCAGGTGACCCCGGGAACAGAAGCCAAGCAACCACCAGCCCTTCCTAGCTGGCTGTGTGGTGTGCTGCATCGCTGAAGTCCGGCCTTAAGTGCCCGCTACCCCCTTAGGCATCTAAATGGGGACATGGGGGCTTTACAAATTCCTCTGTAGTATCTTAGCTGTCCACGTTTCTTCTTGTCAAGTCTCCTCTGTGGCATGTCTACTAGCAGCTACTCTGAGCCGGAGCTGCCGCCGCCGTGGAGCAGCTGAGTAGCCACGCACACCTTCCCCGAAGGCTCTGGCTCTGGGCTCCTCCCCAGCCCACGCTCTCGATTAGGGGTTACAGCGGGTGGTGAAACGTTGCTCCTGTTCTCCAGCACCTGGGCTACAGCACTGAATGAAATTCATAGCCAGCGGCTGAGACAAGCGGCTCGACGCTGTAGCCTCCCATCGTGGTGCTGATGCATCGGGGAAGAAACTGATGCCGAATTCCACCCTCTGAAAGACTGTATGAATTTTAAATGGTGATTAGCTTCTGCCCCCTCCGTACAAAAATTCCCGTAGATAAGACTGGCATAACGCTTAGCTTGTGAGTCATGCCTGAGGTTAAGAAAAACAGTGAGCTACTCCTGCTAGCAAGGAAGAGGCAGCTCTAAGTACGCAGCGGGTACTTGTGTGTGCAGGGGACTTTGGAGACATTCAGGTACCTCTGGAGCTAAAGTGGCAGGTAGGTACTTAAGATCAATTAGGAATTTAGTCCTAGATTGCTGCTACTTTGCGGTATTAGGACAATCACTGCTAATTTCTGGGACCTGAGGGAATAGGAAACTCAAGTGGGCTCTAAAACCTTGAGGAAAGTGAGTGGAAAGGAGTATGCTTATTGCTCTCTCTTCATTACTGTGACAATATTTCTTTTCTCCCCTCCCTTCCATCCCATCAGCTGTAAAAACATCGTTACCAAGGCTGATGTACAAAGAAAGGAATAATTACAATAATTAGGATACGAGTTTATTGCTCGGTGCCATTAATCCTGAGAGATAAAATGATTACAGGCTGTCAGAGCGCGGGAAGGAAGGAATCTCTGCGGCGCAGAGCCTCGCTGCGGGGACGCAAACCCTCCAGCAGCCTCGGGGGCAGCGACCTCCCCAGCTAAGGAGCAGCGGGACCCCCACCTCTCCAGCAGCACGCCCGGGGTGAAGGTGATCGGCATCAAAATGGAGGTGACTTCATCCAATCCTTCCAGGAAAATACATTTCAGTATTTTGCAAATTACTACCCGGCAGGCTAACGACCCTGCTTTCTGCTCCCTGGGTAACTCCTGCTGCTTACGAGAGAGGCCTCACCCATAGCCCTGCAGCGGCGTCACCCGAGGTGCCAGGGCATCCTTCATTGCCCAAACCATGAGCAGTGTCAGAGGATCATGCTGACTGTCCTCCAACACTGCCATCGCTACTCTGGTCCATCTGCTGACCTCCACTAAGCTATGAATCACACTCCCAACGAGGCTGAGGGGCACTGGTGGGGACCTGGCTGTCCACGGCTGGAGTGCTTGTGTAATCTGAACGCCCTTTAAATCTCCTCTCTGCCTGTCCACCTTGTGGCCCTTCCCCAGCTTGAGCAAAGAGGTGGCAGAGAAGATCCCTCTCTGACAGCTGGCCATTAAATGACTTGATGGACAAAGCCAATCATAGACTCATAGAACGGCCCAGGCTGGAGGGCACCTTGAAAGAGCATCTGGTCCAATCTTTTGTAGGAAAGGGAGCCTTGATGAGATTATTTGGCACTCTGTCCAATCTCATTGCGAAAACCGCCAGCAATGGGGATTCCACCATGTCCCTGGGGAGGTTGTCCCAGTGACTGACTATTCACACTGTAAAAAATTTCTTCCTTATATTGAGATGGAACTTCTCCTTGTGTAGCTTGTATCTGTTGCCCTTTGTCTCCTCCACGTGTCTCCTTGTGAAGAGAGCCTCTGTCCTCCTTGTAGCCAGCCTTTAAGTACTCGCATACTGTGATGAGGTTCCCCTGAGCCTTCTCTTCTCCAGGGAGAAGAGACCTAATTCCTTCAAGTCTTTCCTCACAGGACAGGTTCTCCAGCCCTTTGATCATCTTCGTGGCTCTCCTTTGGATCCTCTCCAGTCTGTCCACATCTTTTTTGAATTCTGGGGACCAAAACTGGACACAGTATTCCAGGTGTGGCCTGACAAACATTCAGTGGGATGATCACATCTCTGTCTCGGTTA